CACCTTCCCCTTGCAGAAGAATAACAATTGTTAATAACAGTTGTTATCAGTCACTAAGTTACTTTAAGGAACAAAGACCTGAGCAGTTTTTCTGCTGCTAGGTTATGTGAAGATAATTTACTTTATATGCTGGGAAGAATATGCTTTAATTTAAAACTGAAAATTACTACTCTAAAAACAAAGTGGAAAACAGCAAGGTTGCAAACCTCCTTTCCACACATCGCCAGGGGACGAGCGTATGTTGTGAGATATTAGCAAGCCAAGTCTGAGAAAGCTTAAAGCCTGAAGTATTAGTCAAGCCAACTTTGAAGGGTAGGTCCTGATGTCTTAAGGTATCAAGCATTGCAAACTATCTCACAGGCTTAAAGTATTGCTTGCATTAACTGCCATTCTAACTGCAGCTGTGAAAATGCAATGTTCTCATGCCTCACCTGCACTACCCACGTTGCAGTAAGGAAGGAGCTTATACTACAGTTGCTCTGCTACCTTCCTCCTCTCTCTTCTCCCCACTCCCAAAAGAGTGTAGCAACAAAATGGTGCAAAGCCATTAGTAGTTGAGCAACTCCTTTCACAACTAAGCAAAATTCTTGGAAATCAAGTAATTCTGGTTTCAGGCCAAAAGACTAGTTCCTGAATAAATTTGTTACTATGCAACTCTGCATCTTGCTTGCCAACTTCAGGCACTTGGAGACATTCAACAGCTGTAAACCAGCAGTAAGCAGAAGAGCTTACAGAGGGAATGATATTTAGGACCCAAAATACAAGTGAGCCTTTTCAAGAAAATGTAGTTTTCTCTGCTACCTAGGTGGCATGGCATTGCCCCGAAACGCTGCCTGCGATATGGCCAGTATCTTCCACACTTGCCAGGAACTCAGCTTTGCTATTTCTGAAGTTGCACTAGCACTCAAAGGCTGTAATCATGCTGAGCAAAATCCTACTTTAACTGTTGCCTTACTTTATTAAATACCTTCAGATGAATATACTTTCATCAGATAGCTGATCTCACATTTTTTTCTGGCACAAAAATAATCCCGAGGGGCATTGCTTTTAATGCAGTCAGAACAGCTTTTCTGAAGTGAAGCTCAATCCATAACTAACAGTCCAAAAGCAATGAATTACAAATTACTTTGTCCAAAAGCAATAAATTACTAAATTACTAGACGATCATCTCTAGCAGCCTTAGCACCGCATCAGGATACCAAGTGCTTCCCAGACCTTCTCCTGTTAGTTTAGCATCAAGGTGCCGTAGGAACTCTCTGCACAGTTCTGCGCCAGCAGCTGCAGAAGGATGCAATTCTGGGCAGCGAATTTTGAGCTTTCCTGAGCTTTGACTCACCCCTTATTTTGAGTCCCCCCCTCCCCCCCCATCCTGAAATGCACTAAAAGAGAGCAGTAATCCCATAAGTATGTATTTATACAGATCTCAAAAGCTATGTCAAATGGGAAGATAATTACAGAAAAAAGAAAAAATAATATAACCAGCAAATAAAGTGTTTCATTGAAGATGACAAAAGCATCTCTTTCCAATTCTGTTTAACATTTGATTTGTATACTAGAACAAAGTTCTCCAGTACCCTTGAGTAGGACTATTTGCTTCATTAGATCCAGAGTAACTTGTCATATTAAGATAAAGGAAGACTCTGGAAAGCCACGTTGAAAAGCCATTTGAAGTGACACTTCCACCTTTTGGGTACAACAAAACCCTGCAACACCAATTCTCATTTCAGTTTTAGTGTTGGCTGCAAGCTAACTTTCTGTCAAAGACCATCTTTCTTGGCAGCAGCTAGAGGGAAGAAACAGAACAACCGGGACTTCCTGGCAGTCATAAATTAATTACTTATTCCCGCAACTCTACAGTTAACTCTACTAATGCAAATCTCAGCTCTAAGAACTGCCGATATAATTTCTATAAATGCATTTTATAAAGGCTTTGCCCACTAACTCATGCTCTGCTATGGAATCAAAAAATCTCAAAACTAAACAAAATAATAGTCAAGCAAATTATCTGAGGCCTCAGTCACAGGGGGATCCTGGGACAAGTACTGCATTCCCTTTCACTCACTAAAATAGCAGAGCAGTCTACTCTGCCATGCAACAAAGTAAGCATTCAGGGAAGTAAAGACGCAAAAAACACTTACACTTTCAGATCTGAATCCCCTCAAGACCATATCAGAAATAAATCAAATAAAACTGAAATATATATTCTTTAAATTGTTAATTGCAGTAGCTGAAAGAAAAATACAAACAAATTCTTTCAAGCAGAAAAAAAAAACTAGTATGTGCAGGTGGGAGGAAGGAATTATACGGATATTTTCTAGACTTCTGTCTCTTTAAATGTCTTTGTCTCCTTATTTCTTACATGCTGAAAAAGAGAAGCTTTTGTGGAAGCCCCGCATGGAATTAACATTTATTCTACAAACACCGTGGATGTCAGGGGAAAAGCCCTTACAAAAGAAAAAGGCCCAATCAAATAGATTTCATTATTATTGCCCCACTGAAAAATCTATCTTCTTTCTGGGCTTGTCATAGTCTCACAGTAAGAGTGGAACAGTAATCCTTTGTGGGGAAAAAAAAAAAAGCAGCAACAAAGACATATTGGAATCACTTGTTGCACTGTCATGTTAAAGAAAATTAAATATATAAAATACTACTGAATGCCCTGAACATTTTTAGGAGTATCAGAGCTGGAATAGTTCACGAATATGAAATAAAACCAAGCTACACTCAGTCTCCTTTTGGCTAAAAATATCAATAAATTCTTTTGCCCGTATACTGCTCTCCCACCCCTTACCCACACCAGTCTCTTCTAGTACTTAACAGTTGAAAAATAAAGCTAGATGAAAGCAGAACAAATCAAATACTTTACAAACATCTCATGTGTTGCAGAGCACCTTTGTGTCCCTGTACTCCCAAGGTTTCTCATACGCTGCTGGATTTAAAGGTTGCTGCTTTCCTCTGGATGCATATATCTTCTATGCCCCAAAACAAACTTTGTTAGGAAACACAAGTGTCTTTAAGTGCTTTTAAAAGCAACGAAAACTAAAAATAATTTTCTACTAGTGACAATTCTGTTTAGCCTGTGCGAGCTCATGTACTCACATGCTAACAGTACAGCAAAGCTTTCAGAACTAATTCAGGAGAACTGTTAAGAACAAACTTTTCTCTAGTATCTGTCAGTTCCTAAGAAGTTAATGAGGACACTACCTATATGCTGCTGTCTACCTGGAAGGTAGTTGTTAGCCTTTGCAAATACTTCATCAAAAGAAAAAACAGAGAACACTAGTAATGTGAGCATGGTAAATATCCTCCCTTCCAACAAATGTGCAGCACAATAAACGTAGCATTACGTGTCGCTACGTGACAGAATGAATTAAGTTGCAAATATAGATATTTAACAGAAAGTAAAGCTTTCATATACATGTTGAGGGAAAAATATATATTAAAAAATCAAATGTGACTGGGAATTAAAAAATACATAATTAAAATACAAGTTATGTAAAAAATATTCTGCAAAAGAGCTTCTCCTGTGTGTTACAGCATTTTATTCTTGTGGGTTTTTTCCAATAAAGCTACTTGTAGCAGTAAACTGTCTGTAACCGATCCAGTGGTAAAAACATAATTCTGTCCTGAGTTAGCCTAAGAGATCACAGGCAAATACTCAGAACAAAGTGATTAACAAAGGCTGATTTCATTCTGAAGGCCTGAGGATTTTCTGACCTGTAAAGTTCGCCCAAGCACAGGCTATATAGACAGACACTCACTAAGACAGAGGTATTACATGTCTGGAAACAAAGTCGAGGGATATCAATCTCCAAATATTATCCTGAAATGGAGAAAAGTTGACAGTGTAAAGAGAAATTAAGAGAAAGCAAAGAACTTCCTGTGAAAAGTCATTCCTTTTCAAGCCAGCCCTCTTTAGTATATTACTGAAGTTACCAAATTTTGATGTATTTCCTTCAGCATAATTTTAAGTACGGTTACAACTCACTCCTCAAAACAGCAGAACAGGGAAATAAGCAGACACACTTATTTTCAGTAACAGAATAATCTTTGAACTCCTCTGCCAATACTTTCAGCTGCCAATAAAGCTTCTTCAAATCTTAGAAGGTAAAAAGTGAACTGCTGTTTAGATCATCAAAAAGCTTCTATATAAAAAAGGAAGGTTAGTACAGAAAACAAGAAACAACCATACTGCTGGGGTCATTCTGAAAGTGTAATGCAAGGTTTGGTACACATACACCAACTCACATGAGAAATAATTTCAATAGTAACAGAGTCAAAAAGCCAAAAACTGACACTCAGAGAAAACTCCAGTTTAAATATATCTACAATTCCTTTAAAAATATTCTTCAATAAATATAATTTCTGTAAGAACAATGGCAACATGCAAAGAAACTACCTAGTACAGTCAAGTTGTTACATTATTTTAAATTACCCTTTATTTTTCACAAGTTTTTCCAACACGTTGTGCATTTTGGCACGGTAGACTTTGAGATAGTTTGCTTCAAGTTTCTTTAAATTACAAACAGTAGATACAGTAGGAATATTTTAAACCTATTTCTTTAAAATAAATGGCAAGACCCTTAGCTTTAAAAGAGACTGACACAATTTCGTTTTCCTGATACAAAATTCAAGTAATTTAAAGTATGAGTAGAAAATTATCTTGTTTATAAAACATCATCTTATTAAAATTTACCAGCATTCTGAAAATAAACATCAAATTTCCAGTATCAACTGGGTGCAATTACACATTTAGAAAAATAACTCATTTTAAATGAAGGTCACTTGGTGAAGAAAAGTAAATTTTCAACAGGAGGAGTTCTTAAAACAAATGATAAACCATTTTTTCTTAGCTAAATTATTTCATCATTGCTCCATCTCTGCAATTAATTTATTTTTCTTCTAATGGTGCATATTTCAGTATTGAAAATGAATTAAGAAAACAGGCTACTGAGATGTTTTCCCTTCATACCAGCATATGGAATTATTGCTTATCCCTGACAACTGAATACAAGATTCACTCAATTTCCTTTTTATGCTGTGTTTTTTGATTGCTTGGTACCAAATATACACACCACAAGAACTTCAGCCGTATCACTTTACTGAATGAAAAACACAATAAATTTTTCAGATCATTTTATATTTAGGGTTGTTTGGGTTTTTTTCAACAAAGAAATGGATTAATTATAAAATGCTCTTCATTTTTCCCCTCCTTACCTACCCTTTAAGACAGCAGAGTGGAAAAACAAGCAGGACAAGTTTACTTGGTGACTCAAGGCTCAGAGCAGATATTGAGAAATCTTCAACAATTTTAGAACTTTTTCCTTTTTTTGTTATTTTAGCCCAAAGTAACTTTTCTGTCTAGGAACAGTAACTTAAAAGTTTCTTTTATCACCATCTTCCAGAAGAAATCTATAAATAAATGTTTATGTAAAGAATCAAACACTGTGGTTGAAGAGGGAAAAAAAATAAAATTAAGGATCAATAAATGATACTGCAATGTATCTTGTGCCATTCAAGATAGGAAGTCCTTCATGTAAATGAGTAAGTCTTCCTGGGTGCATGAAACTCCATCCTTTCCTGGGAGACTCAATGGAGCAGTTGTACCTAAGAAATTTACATCCACCTCCCTGCAGTAAAAACACAAACAAACCCAGCTATTTACCTTGTGTTTCAATTAAGTGCCTTATTTATTCACAACTTAAAATACTTTGCTACTATTAACAGGCTGTTAACAATATTTTTTTTTACTATCCCTACTAACAAGGTTGTTTAAATGACATCATCTTCAGAACAATACATAACAGAGATGCATTTGCAATGAAAGATTTTCCCTTGCTTTGCTTTTGCATTCCCTTGATAACAACTCATTCAAAAGCAGCAACTCTGACAAACAATTCTTCAATAACTTTACTGTCGATTATACCAGAGAGAAACAAATCATGTTCACAGGCCTTGTTCCAGGACTGTATCCCTAGCCAGGATAATATTTAAACAAATCTTAAATAAATTAATCTGGCTGTTACTTTAGAAAACACACCTTCAGTTTGAAAGCAATAAGTTTGAGAAACACACTTATGGGTGTTAAGTAGAACCGTGAATAATGCAGGTTCACAAACAAAACAGGTTAAGTTTCTCTACTAGTCAAAGCTGGATATTATTGCTACTGCCCTGCCTATCTCCATACGCTGGGGACTGTTTTATTTGAAGCAGTATCAGAGTAGAAAATAATTTATCTCAGAAAAAAAAAGTTAAAAATTTTCATTCTGTGGCTAATCTAAAAAAGACTAACTTAAAAAGTTGTAACAAAAAGAAGCTAGTTGAGTCAACTTGGGACTAAAGTATTTTGAAAGACTGGTTTTCACTGTACAAAAATGAAGCATTTTAGAAATGTTAAAAATGAAATGGCTAACATCTCCAAAGCTTTTCATTAAACCCCTTCTCCCCCACCATCTGAAACCATTCTGACCAATTCAGCCTGACTGCATCAACAGTCCTGGATCCTGCAATGGAGTAAATTTAATACTTGTCAAAAAACATCAAGGAATTATATATCTCAATTTATAACGCACATCTTTGCCTTTTCAACATGGTCTTTAAGTATATCTATTTGGGCTCTAGTTTGGAAACAAGATTAGGCACTCAAAGGACAACATTTTTTTAAGCCCGTAAGTTGTCAACTTACTTGAAAGTCCTCTCCTACTTTGTTGAGAGCAATGTTGATTGTGAATGTAGAGGAGTCATGATGAGGTCTGAGCGACCGTTGTCTGTCAGGGCTGTATTTTACAACAAAATTTAATAAAGCAAATCCCTGAAACAAAACATACAGCCAGACTTCAACTTTTAAGTCACACATAGGCTTCTTGAGGTGATTTTTTTTTTTATTTAAAGCTGAGATAACATCTCGACAACATTCATCCATAACTACTGTTACATCATATATAGACTCTCCATTCAAACCAAATATGGCATATTCAATAAAATACTTAGAATTACTCATGCCACGCAGTAATTATCCACTAAAATTTTAAACACATACCTTGGTATAATAGCCAGCAAACACTTTTAGTGTTACTGGTGCAATGAACTCTCTTATGAAATGCAGCCATTCATTATCCAGTCCAATTTGCTTCATATGAATATCATCAGTTGGGACATTTTCATAACCTCCAGAAATACGGCTGTCCTAATAAGAATACCACAAAGAGCCCTGAAACATGGACATGGAATGCTTCTGGCACTTCTACAAATATTTATTTGAAATCTGCACAATCACAAAACTGCAACAAAGCAATGCCTTAGTGGGCATATGTGAGCTTGCTGTTCAGTAATTTCACAGCTAACTGCTGTGGAAAAAAAATGCCGAGCTAGCAATAAGGAAAAAAAATGAAATTTCTTAAAGATGAGTCAATATTTGGATGCCTTGCCTGTAACTAAGGGCTTCCTGCGGTAATGGTTTGATTTATTGAGATGTAGATGCAATTGAAGTTATCAGATCAAGAGAGTACAGGCCTTGACATGGTAATAAATATTGAAATAATTTCAAGATAAAAGTATGTTAAAATATTTTCTGGAGGCTCCTCCTTGCAGTAAAATGACTGTAATTTCTCTCATTTTCCAAGGTACCACATTTGTGAATATGACAGACATTCCTCTGATTTTAGCAGTAGTTAATGAACACCTTGAACTTTCTGCAAACTCAAACAAAATAGCTCATAACATTTGTCGGTAACTGCCAAAGAGGGACAAGTCTGACAAACTGGTACTTAAGAAGGTAAACAAGTAAAACCTCTCTGAACAGTTAAACAGCTATCCAAGATCAGACTTGGATAACTGTTGGATTACTACGGCAACTGCACCACTGTTAGTGTCTGAATTTGCTAGTTCAAGGCTAATTGAGGAATGCCTCTAAATCTATTGAACAAGAAACTACATGGTAGACTCAACTAAACATTTCATACCATGAAGTAGATGTCTTGGTTCATTGGCAATTGGAGGAATGTTTGTTTGTTGTGGTACACTGTGACTTATTATTATAAAAAGTACTCACTCATTAAGGTCATGTTTATACAGGCTGACACTTACTTGGTGTTTTCCACCAGACCATTGCCCAAAATGTTCCATTTCTTCTACCAATTCATCACAGGCAGTGTCAGAAAATATGGGAAACCAAAACACATCTGGACATGGCTACAAGAGAAAAAAAAAAATCATTCATCTCTTTCATTGATGATAAGTTTTAACAGCTATCTTTTCAACTACTAAAAAAGGACATCTTCACTTTTACTGGTCATGAAAGAATATCAGCTGTTATCATCCGAGCCATAATTCAGATGACTTTAAATAATTAAGTTTTGTCTTGATCCACAAGCACGTTCTCACAGAATAAAGCAACAACGAGCTACCTTGTAAGCCATGACCCAGCATTAACAGCTGTGTCAGTGTAACCACATATTCTGTGTCATGGTTGCTCCAAATAACAACCATGACCTTCTACACTGCAAACTATTAAGAAAAACAGTTTAAAAATTAACATTGTTTTAAATACAATTTATGCCAACTTCTTAAGGAAGCAAAGTCCACTAAGTCACTGTCCCTAATTGTCACAGAACCGATCATCCAACACTGGTACAACAATTGCCACCTTAGAGTGCTCTGTCCAGATCAGTTGCACGAAAGCAAGCAGCCAGGCAGACAAAAAAAAAAAAAAAACCCAAAGACCTCTTTGTATCCAGCAAAAGGCTTTACTTTAGATTCACGGTTGTCAGAACTTAGG